TTCCATCAATTGTTGTAAAGTATTTAGTGATTTTTTTTTATTAATTTTAGAGTGTACGTATTTCCCCAAATCTTTCGGGTTCTCTTTAATTCCTTCTGCTATGCTTTTCTCGCACTGCCTGTGTGCTAAAAGCTGTATATTTGAGGCTTTGTTTCTGCATACCTTATATTTGTCATAATTGTTGCCTATTTTGTTTCTGCTGTAATTATACCATTTTTTTCGTTTTAGTTTCATTGCTGTGATGACTTCTTTCGTGTACCATAGTTTTTTTTCTTCTTCATGTTTTTACTTGGTAAGTAGTATGCTCTTGGTTCTTGTTTCATGGTTTCCTTGAAGATAGTCCATATCTCATTAGTATCCATGCCTAACAATGCAGTGTCTCTGTAACAATATTGACCTAATAAGCCTCTTGACAATATTGTGGTGCATCGCCGGTGCCGAGCATCAGATTATGTAGTTTATATTGTCCAATCGTCTGTGCTTATCTTACTAATGGCTCATCATTAAAGTTTATGTTTATTTTACTCTGCGTCTCTATCCGCTCGTACGCTGCTCCAACCCGCCCCAAATCATAATTTAACATGGTGGCTGAGTAAATTAGGATCCTGAGTGTAGAATAAGTTAACTTTTTGATGTATGTATGCCGTGTATTTCCTGAACTGATCTGTTTTCTGTCTGCCAGAGTGTATTTCTAAGCCACATTTCACGCTCTGACGGCATACATTTGCCATAGTTGTACTTGCTTTGAAGTCTGATACTGTCAACAAGTAACTGTCAATTACTTATCTGAAGTAATGGGTGACAATCCTGATAATCCTGGAGCAAATCAACAACCTGTTGAAGGAGGAAATAATAATAATGTTGCTGATCAACGTTGTCCTGTTATTAATGTATCTCCACCTGCTCAACTAATCTTGGGTGATAGCCCAGTAGAAAACTGGAAACTGTATAAACAAGCCTGGTCTAACTATAAAGTTATCGCTGGACTAGAATTAAGAACTGAAGAATATAGGAAAGCTTTATTTCTTCATAATTTAGGCCGTGAAGCTCAGTTAATTTATAATTCGTTTGTATATCTGCCTACTGAAGATCAAAATAGCCTGGAGATTATTCAACGCAAATTTGATGAACATATTATAGGCATGGTCAATGAAACCTATGAACGTTATGTGTTTAACTCACGAAGTCAAGAACAGGGTGAAACATTCGATAAATATTTAGCTGCATTAAGAGGCTTGATGAAAACTTGTAATTTCTGCCAGTGTATGTCAGACAGTCTACTGAAAGACAGAATCGTATTTGGTGTGCAATCAAAGGACACAAGAAAGCGCCTACTCCAACAAAATAAATTGACACTTACAAAATGTATTGATATTTGTCGAAGTCAAGAATCGTCTACTCAAAAGATGAAAAGTATTTCTGACACAACGTCATCAGAGGTCAACAAAGTGTATGGAGGATCAAAAGTGCCAAAATGCAAACCTAAAACTTTTCCACCAAAACAAACTGAGATATATGCATCTCAACCCAGACATACAAAGAAAGAACTTCACTGCAAATTTTGTGGTAAAACTCATGTCATGAAAAAGGAATCCTGTCCTGCTTGGGGACAAAAGTGTAAGAAATGTGATAAGCTGAATCATTTCTCTGTTAAATGTCCTTCAAAATCTCATGGTGTTTCTGCTGTTTACTCTGACTTGTTTACTGTAACTGAAAACGTTAACACTATCAAGAGTGATCAAATTCTGCTAAACATGAGGATTGGTAAAAATAGAACTGTTAAATTTCAGTGTGACAGTGGATCATCTGTAAATATTATACCAAAGAAACATGTTACTGGTTTCCCTATTGATAAATGTTCTACGATTCTCAGAATGTGGAATGGAACTGAACTCAAACCTATTGGTCAATGCTGTGTACCTTTGTTTAACTTAAAAACTAACGAAAAGTACTTGGTAACATTCATTGTAGTGAATGAGAATCTGACTCCTTTACTTGGTAAAGAAACTTCTGAAAAACTGGGTCTAATTACAGTCAACTATGATCAATTTAGTCCTGTATCTGCTGTAAAGTCTGATGAATTGATAGACCCCTTTATTGAATATTCTGATGTATTTGAAAATCGAATTGGTACTTTGCCTGG